TTTTCAAAATCAATTGATCAACATTTCAAACATTTAAATCAATTTTATGATTTAATTTATCAAATGGTTTAAACTGTCTCTGCAGCAAAAGCATTTATTTTAAAGATGAATTCGTTTTTTTGGGCATGATATTGCCAAAAACACTATTAGACCTATTACAAGAAGTTTGCAGTTTTCTACTAATTTCCTGATGAATTAAGGATAAAAAGCAACTTCAAAGATTTTTAGGATGCTTAAATTATATCCATGATTTTTTCAAAGATTAGGGATTATATGTAAACCACTTTATATAACAGATTAAAGAGATAATCCTGAACCATGGACTCAAAAACATACAGATATAATTAATATATAAAACAAAAGGTTCCTACTTTGCCATGTTTTAAATTTACCTCATCCCAATGCCAATATCATAGTTGAAACCGATGCTAGTGATATTGGATTCGGAGGATTCTAAAACAAAAATTTGTTAATTCAAAAAAAGAACAATTGGTTCGATATTACTCTGGTGCATGGAATGATACACAAAAAAATTATTCAACTGTCAAAAAGAAATTTTAAGCATTGTTTTATGTATTAAAAAATTGAAGATGATTTATTTATGAAAGTTTTTTATAAGAATAGATTGTCAATCTGCAAAAAACTATTTTAGAAAAGGATGTTAAAAATATTATTTCCAAACATTTTTTTGCTCGATGGCAAGCCCTTTTAGGTAACTTTGATTTCGAAATAGAATTCATAAAAGGCGAAAATAATTCGCTTCCTGACTTTCTTTCTCGAGAATTTTTGCAGGGAAAATGAGTTCATCGTCCTCTTCCAAACATGATGACAAGAAACCCGTCTATCAAAAGCTTGTTCCATTTCAAAATCAAAATCGTTTTTCTCTCCTTTAACCCTACTTCTAAGAATTCACAACTTTATTCTAATATCCTTTAATCAAAACTTGTTACTTCAAAAGTTACTTCAACAAACACGATAAGCCCTTTTGTAAGACCTTTTACTCCTCAAACTCAAAATTATGTGACTCCTAGCCTCCTACAAAACTCCTTATGTTCTTAATCCAAATTTCTTAAGAGTTCAAATTCTTGAAGATTTTCAAATCCATAAGTTACATCAAGGTTTTCATATCCTCACAAATCATCTTTTTGGTCAAGGGAAAACCTTTTATGTTGATTCATATAAAACTCGAGAATATTATCAAGCTATTTTAAAAGAATCTGGTTCGGTCAATTTTGGTCATCGTTCTAATTCAAAAGAAGGAAACATTGATTTTAGCAAAGCTCACATCATCAAAATCATTTCTCCAGAAAGTTGGGTTCCAAACCTTCATTCTGAAAAACCTCTTATAAGTTATCCTGCTTATCCCAGATTTTCTTACTATGATTATCAAGATGCCTGGACTAAGGCGTTCTTTATATTCGAAATTATTCACACTCATGGTTTATCTTCTTTGATTAAACTTCAATTGTGAATACCCAAGATGGTTTATCAATTGGTATAAATATTTGAGAATTCTTCCAATTTTTACCAAAAGAAATTTACGATGGATATCTCAAATTTAAGGAATTGTTTATTCAACAAATTCCAGAATTTGAATATATATGCTACAATTCACTATGATATTCAGACTTCCATGGATAATGTCTTGGACTTTTCATTATCAAGAAGCAAAGGATACCTCTCTTCCCTGGCTTAATCGACAATTTCGCTCAAAATGGTGGGATAAAATGAAGATTTCTCAAGCCAGTGAACAAGCAGTAATTAAATATTATCAAGAAATATATATTCAAAAACCGGAGGTTGAAGCCACTTTTATCAAAAGTCTTCCTCAAAGTGATGTGGATTTAATTTCAAGAATTAAAGATGCTGCTGCTACCTCTCTCTCCTGAAGAACTTCAAACTGCAAAACTTACTTCAAGAAATTCGCCAAACTCCATCAGTTTCTGACGATTCTCCAAAATCTATAAAGAATGGTTTATTTCAAGACGCTCAAGACTCTTTTGATGATCCTTATGAAGAATAAGAAATTCTTAAATTTGGTGTAATACCTTTTCAAATACGAGTGTGTATATACTGTGTAATTATACACTATATGTATTTATAGTGTATAAAACAAATATTATCAAATTTATTATCAAAATTATTTAGTCTTATCAGCAATAATAATATGAAGACAAAAAACTTTACAAGATGCTCCATAATAGATAATATGAAGACAAAAAACTTTAGAAGATGCTCTATGATGATATGCTTTATCAAAAAGTGATATTTACTGATTACAAAAGACAATTTCTTCAAAAGATGAAAGTGATATTTACTGATTACAAAAGACAATTTCTTCAAAACTTTAGAAGATGCTCTATGATGATATGCTTTATCATGTGTTAGTAGAACAAAGCAAGCAAAAATATTCATTCTCTAAAATATGTTCATCCTATGTCTAAAAAATCTCCAAGAGTCTCTCTTTCTACTAGCAGATGTTCAAATTTCAAATCTTTCTCCAGAAGTATGTACTGATTGTAATTCAAGCTTAGTTCAAGAAGATATTATCTAAAATATTTATTCAATTGTTGTATTGCTTTTATTGACGATGATAGTTTCATTTCGAGTTGTTCTAACTATTAATTCTACAAGATTTGAAATTTTTGTTAAAATAGTACTCGTTTTTAATAATCAAATTAATCAAATTCATGCTTGAATTATTTAATTATGTCTAACAAAATCTTGATGAATTGTATTCCTAATAGAGATATTCTTTTAAAAATACAACAAATCCAAGAATCTATAAATAATTCTGAGCAAAATCTCAAAGATTCTTACAAACCTAATAATGTAGGTACGATTTTAAACAATAATCATATTCATGATGTTAGACAATTTATAAGAGTTAGTATTAAAATTCGTTACAAGCAAATACGTTATCTAAAAGCAAAACTATGTGTATTTTAAATTATCATTTATGTCTTTTAAACATTAATCATAATCATTATAATCATTAAACATTATTATATATATATATATATATATATATATATATTATATAGCTATATATATATATAATATATATCATTGCCGGTTTCTCATCACCATCCGTAAGTCTCAATACCTTAAAAATAGGAACTACACAACTCAAACAATATTTTATAGCCTTCCAAAAGTTGACATCAACCAAAATAATTCTTTCAACTAACTTCCCTTCATCTTTAGAAGCAAAGGTGGATTCGGCCCATTCATTAGAAGCAAACAATTGTGAATAGGATGTTTTAACTCTTGAAATATTTTCAATGTAAGAAAAGATGTAGCAAAGCATGTTACTCCGGCTCGTGTTAATTCTTGACCACCGTGAACCTTCTAAACATGGATAACAAAACACAATGTTATAAATATAAACGGTTACTTTTCGTGCTTTATCTAAAGTGTCTTTGAATGTTTTTCCACAACCTATGTCTTGCAACATCAAGTCCATCAAACGGGAAGAACACAGTGACCAATATAAACGAGGTCTCTCTTGCTCCAACATTGAACCGGCTAACACATAAGCCGAAACACTATCGGTGACGGCTTGAACCACATTCTCCTCCCCAATTTTCTTCAACAATTGAATTAAGCATTTCAAATAACTTATTTGCATCTTTAGCAAACGAAGATGTGTCAATTGATTTCACAAATACAGTGTCACCTGGACTATTCACAAGAAAATTTGTGATAGACCTTCGTTTTCCATCCGTCCAACCGTCGGACATAAGAGTGTACCCCATTTTCTTCCACTCTTCCGTGTACTTATTCAACCCTTTTTCAACACATTCACTTCTTTATTTAGGTATGCTACTCTCGCCTCATGATATGAAGGAAGTTTCAATCAATTCCCATATTCCCCTACGAGTCTCAAAGCTTTTTTCCATAATGGAGACTTCATCAAGTTAAATAGCAACGCTTCACCATATAAAAGTCAACATAAAGCTCGAGTTACGGGCTCTCTATCCTTCAATGCTTGATTCATTGTTTTTTGTTTTCCTTTATTCAAAACCGATTTCACAGTCCCGTTCCTGTCACTCTCAACTTCAAAACATTCATCATCCATTGCCTTAGACTTTTTTTCCTCAAAATCCCTCAATAATTTTTTGAAAAGTTCTTGTGTAGCTTCATCAACCACCTTGCAAACAGAAGCATCTGTTTTTGTTTCAGCAAGATGATTCTTCATTCTAAATACTCCTCTAAAAAAATTATTGCAATAGTTATATTGCAATCTAACTCTAGTACAATGTCCCCAAGTGATATCTGGTTTTGCCTTTCGTTTTGGCATAATTAAACTCTACAAACCAAAGAACCTAATTAAAGATAATCACATTACTAAATAAAACCTGATTAAAAATAAAAATTGCACACAGGTAATATTTGAATAGAGAAAGAACAGAAAGAAAACGAGAAAAGGTTAAGAAATAATTTCTAGGAAAGAGTTAGCCTCCTAAACTAACTCACATATGTTTAAAAAACAATATATTTTGAAAATACCCCTAGGGACTCCTTTTATCCAAGAAAATTCGAATCTTTTAGATACAAAAACTGATGCAACAAATTTATTCACATTCATTCCCATAATCTTATACAAAAAAAAAACTGAAAAAGAAGAAAGAAACCTTACCTGTTAAGTGATGAAGGATTGTGAAGTGATGGAATGAAGAAGAATCGCAGGAATAGTGAAGAAGAATCGCAGGAAAGGTAAAGAAGAAGAAGTCTTAGGAAATGAAGAGTGCTAGGAAAAAAGTAAGAAAAAGACAAGTTCAATTTAAGAAAAAGAAGAAGCACACATGAATTTCAGTTTAAGAAAAAAAAGGACAATACCTTTTTACTCTTTGACTTTTATCTCCATAAAACCCATCATACAGCTGGAAAATGGTTGCTTTTAACCACCGGATAATAACTCTAACCGTCGGATAAACGAAAGTAAGGCACAGGTTTCATGACTCGTCTGATTTACGAGCTAACTCGACTCGGTCTGAGTCAATACTTGAAGCGGAAATTTTTTACGAGTCACCTTACGAGTTGAATCGTTTTGGATATCAAATGGCTCGACTCGTACGAGTCAACTCGTGACTCGTACGAGTCACGAGACTCGTACAAGTTTAACAACTATGGTTGTAACTTGGAGGAAAGATTGCAATATTCTTCTACAATATAAACAAAAACAGTATCAGTAATTGGTAAATGACTTAAACTATGACTTAGAAAGAAAGGAGATGATAAACTTACAGGATTTTAATGGAGAATCATCAACCAATAATGTATTTAATTTATTAAAATCTCCTTTGATCCAAGACTTATAAGGACCATTTGACTCCCAAAATTTTCCCAGATACTTGAATTCAATTGGCTTCTTATTATTATCAATGGTATTCATCTTAGTTTTCGTGCATCTTGAAACATCCTATAAATTTCCACATAAAAATATATTACTACAAAAGTTTTATAAAGATAAAATTAGCCTAAAGCCCTAAACATAACCAAATACACTCACCCAAATAAAAAGTAGTTTCTCGTTGAAATTTGGCAACAAAAATTCAACAACTGCGAGAACATTTATTTTGTATTTTGTAGACCTGATGTCAACATTGAATCTCTCAAAACAAAATTCCCAAAAACTATCCAGATGGGGTCTCTTGAATACTGCATCCAAACAAATCTTTATAAATATACATATACATAATAATAATAATAACAATAATAATAAAATAAAAAATAAATAAACAAACCGTACTTGAATCATTTGAAGTATGATGATCTGCTCCCGTTAATTTTTCCACGGACAACATGTGCTAGTACACAGTTTACATCTAATATAAGGAGTTTTTTTATTTAAATGTGCTTTCACTTGTGTTTGAGATCCCGTTGACCGGTGATTGAATATTCCATGTTTTCTCTAGTTACACACTGCATTCCTATTGTATGTTGCAGTAGTAACTAAACCAACTTCACTACTGATATATTTTCTATCATCTTCTCCTTTTGACACAATATTTGCATCAGAATGTGCAATATTATCTGATATCATCGTACTTGATTCTGCTTACTTCTGATCAATTTGTTGCTTCATAATACCTTTAACAAACAATTTGTAAATTTTTTTTTACTGTCTTTGTCTTAACTTGTTCTTTTTTCTAGAGTTCAGCTTAACAGCACCACTACTTCCAGCAATCCCCCTAGATTTTTAGTGGAGTTTTTGTTTATAATTACCATGTCTTGTGTATGTGTGCTCAATGTTGTATTTTTTTTTTTCTTTTTTTCTTCTCTCTTTTTTGATGCATATTTATCAAGTTTAGTCCTGTCATTGGTTGCTTTTGTGTCCTCTACTCCTTTTGAGACTGCATTTGTATCAGGATTTGAAATACTATCTGAGATCACCGTGTTATACATAGACCACATAGACTTGTATTCTATTTTCTTTTTTTCTATTTCTCAGTATTCTATTCCATTTTGGTCTACGCTTTTTTTTTAATTTACTCAGCTTGTCAGCCCCGTTACTTCCTTCATTTTCCATACTTGAAGACTCGTGAACAAGAGATGACATGATTACCTCATGAACAGGAGATGACATGATTACCTCCATTTCGAGCTAGAGTTTTGATGACTGAGCAAGAATCCTACAAAAAAAGTGACGAAATTGCCAAAAATTAAGAGCATCAGAACAACTACAAATAACTGGTCATATAACAATGCATAGTAGAAGCGGTCGAACAAAATATTATCCGAGAACAACAGAGTAACAGACAGATAATCACAAACGAACAAAAGGTAGTGCTTTGGTCATTTCCTTTGGTGTCACACGAACAAAAGATAGTGCTTTGTTCATTTGTGATAATTTGTCTGTTACTATGCTATTCTCAGATAGTATTTTGTTTGACCGCTCCTAATATGCGTTGTTATATGCACAATTATTTCTAGTTGTTGCTCTGATCTTTTTAATTTTGGCAATTTTATCACTTTTTCTGTAGGATTTTTGCTCCATCAGAACTCTAACTCGAAATGGAGGTAATCATGTCATCTAATGTTCACGAGTCTTCAAGTATGGAAAATAAAATAACGGTGCTGACAAGCTGACTAAATAAAAAAAATAATAATAATCAAAGACCAAAATGGAATAGAATACGGAGAAATAGAAAAAAAAATAGAATACAGGTCTATGTGGTCTATGTATAACATGGTGATCTCCGATATTATTTCAAATTTTGATGCACATACAGTCTCAAAAGGAGTAGAGGACACAAAAGCAACCAATGACAGTACTGAACTTGATAACGATGCATCAAAAAAGAGAAAGAGGAAAAATAGAAAGAAAAATAATACAACATTGAACACACAGACACAAGACATGGTAATTATAAACAAAAACTCCGCTAAAACTTTATGGGGATTGCGGGAAGCAGTAGTGCTGTTAAGCTGAACTCTAGACAAAAGAACAAGCTAAGACAAAGGCAGCAAAGAAATATTTACAAATTATTTGCTAAAGGTATTATGAAGCAACAACTTAATCGGAAGCAAGCAGAATCAAGTACGATGATATCATATAATATTGCACATTCTGATGGAAATACATTGTCAAAAGAAGAAGATGATAGAAAATATACCAGTAGTGAAGTTGGTTAAGTTAATACTTTCATTTTTTGAAAAAAAAATGAAAGTACTTAACTTTCACATATAATTATTCCCATAAGACATGTAGAAACACAGAAAATAGCAATCCTGAACAATACCAATCGAAAGTGACTCAATTAAGATGGAGACAAGAAATGGAATGTATATCTATTTTGACTCCTTAAGATAATAGATTTAAGCTGAAAACCCGGGGGAAGCAAACAGAATTTAAGTAAACAATGTTAAATATTCAAATTTAATGAAAATATCAGTAAAAAAGCATGATGCAGAGAAAACTAAACTCATCATTTACACAGAAAAAACTAATGCCAATTGTTGACTCTGCTCCATTGAGGGCCTTATCCATAAATAAATATACAGTTCTGTCCAATGAAACATTATTACATAGTATATATGAACCTTTGAAATGCTAAAGTGTTAAGAAAATGGAAACTAAATAAGTTTTGAGCAATCTTTTAAGTCACGAGTTTGGTGAGATATTTTTCCCTGATTGGCTGTTGTTAACAGCTACTGTGCAAAAACCTAATTTTGATTACAATTAGCAGCATTGGGTTCAAATGCAATTAATTATATAGCAGGATAAAGCCTTAACTTGAATCATTGTCAAGGCCTTAAGCCACATCCATATATCATTAAGTACTCATCGCATTTTCACGAAGATTAAATGGAAACATGCAGTGAAAGTATAACCAGAAGATTACCGTACCGGATTAAGTACAGCAGGCAAATCAAGCGGCGATACATCAACATTTACATGTGCGTTGCCCAACTTTCACGGCGTGTGCGAGCGCAGCTCTCATTTTGGCTTCGAAAAAATCAATCGTTCTCGAGTTTCCCTTATTCCCCGTACGGAACATTTGATAACACTTAATCTTCGTTCAATTCATCCATTTTCAGTTCTTCCACGTCTCCGCCGGTAACAGATCCTTTCTCACTCACATATACACATTTTCTCTGTCGCGCTTGATTACTGAAACCCTAGAGAAATCTTCGGTTTTATACAAAGTCGGTCAATGTACTTATGGGGCAACCTTATTGGGCATGAAAACCTATTACATTTTAATTTTTAGGGAAAATATCAAAATATCAAAAATGGTTCTTGCGGTTATATATACTTTTATTGAATTAGGTCCGGTCATTGGAATCCTTAAAAGAATTTTTTTTTGTTGAACATACGATCATATGGACAATTTGTTGGCCCTTCAATGGGAAGGATTCCGGTAGCCGAAAAAGTCCTATGGGGGCCTCGTCATGTTTGGGAGTATTTATTAAAAAAATCGGGGGAGGGGACAGGGCGAAAGAAAGATTAACCTCGTTTTAATTTAGGGGGCGAGGGCGGGGGTGGGCAGTCCCGTCCCGTGGGGGCCTCGTCCCGTTTGAGGGTATTTATTAACAGGTTTTGAATTTGGGAAGATCCATTCTACGGAGGGGTAGGTCACTCCGCAGAGGGACCTCCGCGGATTGACGTATTGTCTCCGCAGAATGACTCAAAAAGGGAAAAATGTGTCTCCGCTGAGATATAGATCACTCTGTAGAGGGGTCTCCGCGGAATGACCTTAAATGGCTTTTTTCCCCTTTTTTATGCCCTTTTATATCAACTATTTATTAAAGTATGCTGTTATTTATTTCATAAACCGAATTAGAAAAGTAATTTTGAAACCTTGTTTTTTATTTTCAATTACTAACGTTTTATATTAAATTAAATGTATATGTTTTGTAGCACGATGGTCTCAATCAAAAAGCAGATTTAACTTTAAAAGGCGTGGTCGGTACGATCGTTAAAGACTATTTTTCGCGCCTAACACAATCGCAACGAGTATTATTTGAAGCTTTGTCATTTGGAAGATTCTTAGGAATGCATGTCCCCCATGGTGACCCCTTACTTGTGCATTTGATGATGTTGCATGAAGTAAGGTCTCAACAAATGTATAAAATGAGGATGTTTCTTTTTGAGATACAGGAGATGTAGTTGGATTTTGGTGAAACTGAATATATTTTGATTTGTGGTTTAAGAGTCGGTCCTTATGTGGATTTACTCCATGACGAAAGAGGTCGGTCAAATTCAAATCTTCGTGATCGGTTGTTCCCAGACATTATAGATGCACGTTTGCGGCTGAAAGATTTAGAAGACTACATTATGTCTCCGAATTATTTGTCACTTCAGGATGTAGATGTTGTAATGCTTATCTAGCTTGTTTTTTATGTTGAAAGGTCTCCACGGACGGGACGTTAAAACGGGCATTCTCGTGGCAGTATACAAGCTTGCTGATAATATAGATGATTGGAACAGGTATTACATTTAAATATTGTGTATAAATACAATAATAATTATAATAAATAAATTGAAAATTGCAGGTTTGCATGGGGTACATATTTATGGATCTATACTTCGGGGTTGATGCGTGGAATGTTTGAGAAAATAGAAAATTTTAGAATATTCAAGTAAGCCAATCCTGAATCCAAGAAAGTACACAAGTATACCGTTGCCGGTTTTATGCTTCCGTTTAAGGTTAGTTTCTAATGCATTTAAATAGTTGTCATACTTTTGTTTTTTTATACGATAATAACATTGTACTTCGGTTTGTATTATATTTATACCGTTGTACTTTCATTTTTATATACTATAATAGCATCATACATACCTTTTTTTCCATTGATATGGATCTTGGAGACGTTCCCAGAGGCAACCCAGTATTATATATGCACGCCGACAGAATTGCCACAAATGAGGTCATGGAGAAGTAAAACACTGTTATCTTGGGTTCAATGTCGTCGAATAATCAACGTGTCTGTGGTATGGTTTTTATATTATAATTATATATAACTACAAATTCCAATGTTTTTTCATGTTAAGCTAACAATTTGATTTTTGCAGCCTAACAACCATCCTATTGTTGTCGTGGCAAATGCGACGGAGCTCATGTTGCCATTTTATATTCGCTACGTCAATCAGACTCTTAACCATGAAGAGTCTCCCCCACGGCAACATAGTCCCCCCATTGTTGCCTCGCCTCCTCGAAGAAAGAAGTACAAGTCGGAAACATCTTCGACTGAAACTGCCACAAATGCGTCTTCCTCGCAACAGCCTGAAGTAGAAAGAACTTATATGTCAAGCGACACATCAACAAGGTCGATCAAGAAGAAGACGCGCACAAAGGCATTGGTGAAGCGTCTAATAGGCGTTGTGGCTGACTTAACTTCTAAAGTAGATCGTGTATTACAGAAAAAAGATGAACCAGATACAGGGTTTGGAGAGGAGGAGGACATGGGAAATGAAGAGGAGAAAGAAACATATTACCATGGTACACAGTTGGATTATGATGATATATCTACGCATGGTTTGGAGGGGGAAGTTGGGTGTACACCTACGCATGTTGAGCCGTCACCGGACGTGGCTGAACATCACAAAAAAGACAGTGACTCCTATTGTTAGGCCGCAACGAAAGAGGGGTGTTGCATGGTATCAGCGGACGCCGTTCACAGTGGTACAAAACTCATATTTTAAATTTGGTGTATTTATAAAATATTACGTTATTGATAATTATTTAACATTTTAATTTTTTAGATACAATCCACACCAAAATTGAAGAAAATAACCAAAGCAAGAAAAAAAAGTAGTGGAGAGTCCTGAAAAAGCAAATGAAGACATTGTGAATGAAGAGAGTAATGATGTTTCAAATCATCTATTGTTAGACAGTCTTTATGCTGCTAGTACGTTGGGTTTTTGGAAAGAATGGAATATGATCTCTTCCAACCTCAACACTACACACAGGCTGCATATACTCCCACTGGATGTGGAGTTTTGGTCAAGGTTACTTACAGTTACTGACTCTGGGTGGTTAATTTCTTCGGTAACATTCGTTAAATTTTAACTACTTTTTATGACGATAATTTATATAAACAATTGTAACATTTTTATCTTAAAATGTATAGCATATTGCGATATGGAGTGGCTTGCTCATGGAAAGACGACTGACGAACGCAAGGTGGACGATATACCTTCAAGAACTCAATTTGCAACCCGGAAAATCATTTTTTTTAGGAATGTAGCAAATGATGTTGGAGGCTATCCTAAATGGAAGGATGTGGATATGGTTAGTTAAGTTTAATAAATATTTATTTATATATAATATTACTGAATTTACGACTATTTAATTTTTTTGTTTGTAGGTTCTATTCCCCATAAACGTTGTTGGTGTCCATTGGTTTTTAGCAGTGCTATATTTAAATACCTGGAAAGTACACATTTATGATTCAGCATGATCTATGAATTTCTTCTCAAAGTACTTGATTGGTGGAGAATTCAAAAAGTTTTGGGGATAGTATTATCTCAGAGCTAGATGTGATTGAGTTCTGGAACGATTTCCCCGATGGACACAAAGCCAACACAAATGTGGAGTTTGTTGATACTATAGACGGGCCACATCAAGAATATATTGAAGTTAGAGGGGATTATGGAGTATTCATATGCATGTTTATGGAAATGATCGTTTCGAGGGTACCGGTGAAGATTGATAAGCCACATAGAGATGCGGGATTTCTCTACAGAAATAGGATGACAAATATTATTTGGGATACTATATAACTTGATTTTAGGAACTTTGTATATATTAATATGAAATACATGTTTTTAGTAATTTTGTTTAATACAAATATGTGTTTTATTTATTTTTGTTATTATATTTGTTTCATGGACTGCCAAGTCACTTCCTCGGACCGTCATTTCACTATTAAATGACTCAAAAATATGTATCATTTCATCTAATCTATATCACTTCATCTACTTTGTATCTTTTACAATGGGTTCAAAACCATGGACCGCTGATGAGTATTTGTTTCTAACTCGTGTACATATTAATGTCTACGAGAACAGTAGTTTGGATGATACAATGTTTTGGATCCTTTTAACCGATACCTTCAACACTAACGCTGGAACCACCTTAGAAAACCATCGCAACACGTTTGATATAGCAGCAAAATGGTATGAATTAAAAATAGAAGTTGTGTTATTCAATTATCTTTATAAGAAGATTGAAGACGCACATGTGAATGATACTGAGGAAGGCATCTTGGAGGCGGCTAAAGGAGAATACAAATCCATCAGCAACAGAGAGATTTTCGACAATGAAGCCCCTTGGAATCTTTTGAAAAATCTCATGTATTTTTAACTTCTATTGCGTTTGTATTGTGTTTGTATTGCTTTATTTATATGTACTATGGTTGATTTTTTTTTTTTTTTTGCGTTTGTATTATGTTATTTATCCTTTATTTTTTAAAACATAATGCACCAACAAATATTAGCATAAATTCAAACAAACAAACATTACAAATAACATAAAAACATTACAAAAAAAATAATACAGAAAAATAAACATTACGAATAAGATGTACGACTGACAAACATTACATAAAACATTACAAATAAAAGAGCCATCTACATGAAAAAAAGTTTATTTTTAACGAGATTCCAAACGTCCGTATACTTGAACTCATTTCCATCAAACTCGCACAGGTAATATCCGTTCACGTCTTCAAAAAGTTCTTCATCGTCTGCATGAGAGCGTTACATTTTCCCATAAATGTAGCATCGATTGAACCATGTGACTTTATTCTTTGAATCCATCCATTTACTAACAATATCGGGTTTTAGCCATTCTTGTCCTTGTCCCACCTCATGGTTGAACAAAGCCATTAGGCGAGACCATTCATCATCAACAAGGCAATGAGGGGGAGCCATTGCTGGTAGACCCTCGTAAACGGTAATCCATCATTGTGATAGGACCAACACCTCTGTTGTCGTCCATGGGCATGTACCATTTGTTGGAGCTGCTGCATTTGACGGATTTGTTGCATTCAAAGAACTTGGTACATTGGACGCCATTTTGTGAAAGGATCGTTTTTGTGAATAAAAGATGTGAATTTCATATAGATACAAGCTTTATTATATAAAAAGATAGGTTAGGGGGAGTGACAAGTCAGTTACGCGGACTATCAAGTCAGTTATGCGGACTAACAAGTCAGTTACGCGGACTGCCAAGTCAATTATGCGGACTGATCAGTCAGTTACGCTGACTGCCAAGTCAGTTATGCGGACTGATAATTCAGTTATGCAGACTGCTAAGTCAGTTACGCGGGCTGCCAAGTCAGTTACGCGGACTGACAAGTCAGTTATGCGGACTGCCAAGTCAGTTTCACGGACTGCCAAGTCAGTTATGCAGACTACCAAATCAGTTTTTCGCGGACTGCCAATTCAGTAACTTTTGCGGACTGATAAGTTACTTTCGCGGATTTCCTAAACAGTTTAGCGGAATAATGTATACCGATTCCTTTTAAATTGGACAACCATTTTCATTTTTAGAAGAGCCGAAAGTTGTGAAAATGAGTTCAGCCAATGAGGTATTCAAAAAACGTTTCTCCAACCTACCGATTTTTTTTCATAATCTCCAAAGAACGAATCCTAACACCTTCACGTGCATTAAGAAAAATCCGTACAATCGTTTCCATTTTTGTTTTGTGGCATTGGGATGCGTGGTATGTAATCCTTTATAGTAAATTTTTTGTTATTTGAAGTTGTTATATAACTAATATTCTTATCTTTACTTACAGATTCGTACGTTTCTCACGTCTATGATACCAATCATATTCGTTGGCCACGTACCTCTAATTGGGACGTACATAACATCCTTGTACATTGCAGTTTCTTTAGATGGAAATCATGAACCCCTTCTCATAGCGTTTGCTTTGGGAACCATAAACCGTGACGAGTCATGGTTATTGTTCCTGAGGAGGCTGAAAGAATGTTTAGGTGACAATACGGAAGTTGGTTTCATAAGCCATATGTCTGAGTCCATAGACTTTGCAGTTCAGAGAGTCTACCCTGATTCATATCATGCCTATTCTTGTAAAAATATAGCTGAGAAAATACGCGTTTCCACCGGAAGCAATACAGTTGTGGAGAAGTTGTTCTGGAAGACATGTAAAGCGTATAATATGTATGATTTTTATGTGTGTTTGAACAACTTACAAAATGAGGTGAATAGGAATGATCTTGACTAGCTTGACAATATTCCCATTGCAAAATGGGTACGGGCTTTTTTCCCAAAAGTACGTTTCAATGTTAAACTCATTGACATTCCCGACGTTGTCAATTGGATAAGAACAAACAGGCAGGAGTTACCAATAACAACAATCATTAAAATGGTCAACAACTCGATGCCAGGAGTGTATGTGCAACGTGCTATATTCGGTTGGTAATAATGAAATGTTATTATACATTATGACATTATAATTTTTATTTGGTGATTCAGTTCATTTCACAGGGGAATTTCATGGTCTTCTAACCCTTTATGCACTTAAGGTGCTTCAAAAAAGATTTATCCACTCTGATGGTTGTAGGGTTAGGCATGTTGTTGGCGACAGATATGAAGTGAGTAAGTATTAACCACCGAATCCGTGCAATTAGACCGTGGTATTTGTATTTGCGGGAAATGACAAAAATGTGGTATACCTTGTGATCACGCTATAACATCACTACAAAGGCTTGAAATTGAAGAAATCCAGCAAATGGTAAATTTAAAGTTAACTACCGCGGTGTATCGAAATGGTTTTCAAACTGAGACGGTGAATCCTATTCCAATCTTTATGCATTGGGAAATACCAGTTGAAAGTGTTGTCGTTTTACCTCCACGACAATTTACTTGAATTGTAATGTATGGATCACAACGAATATTAGTTTGTCTTCAGTTCTATGTTAACCTTAGTTTTGGTCCGTTGACGTTGTTTAGTATTTAATAAATAATGTTTACCTTTTAATAAATAATTGTAATGTATGGATGACAACGAATTGATAAACAACTCTGCGGACTGACAAACAGCTCTGCAGACTGAAAAACAGCTCTGTTGACTGACAAACAGCTGTGCGGACTGAGAAACAGCTCTGCGGACTGACAAACAACTCTACGGACTGACAAACAACTTTGCTGACTGACAAACAGCTTTGCGGACTGACAAACTGTTAGGGTGCAAAGTCACTATTGGATGTTATTTGTGCTTACCCTCTTGTATTGTGCAATGATTTGTCTTTCCTATAAATAGGAAGTGAGTGACACTCATTTATGTAAAAAACACTTTGATAGAATTAGTCGAGAGAGAGAATTATTGCAACTCATTTGTACTCTTTCTATCAAAACTAATGAGAGCAAAAACGATTTATTTACTCTTGTGTTCTTCATGTTATTGATTCTTAGATGATTCACTAGATCTTCATCTCTACAATTGGTATCAGATCTCATAATTCAACTACAATTGGTATCAGAGCAGGTATTCTTGATTTGATAAAGAATTGATCCATGATGACATTCTTGATTTGGTGATTCTTCATTGCTTTTTGATCTTCATGTTTAGAGAGTGTTTTGTGCTCTAGAAATTGAATTTTTCCTTGATTTGATCCATAATTCTATTTTCTATCTCTATAATACTTGTTTGTGTCACTTTCTCTCTCCAGAAAATTTTCAAGTCTTTGTGATCATGGTGTATTTGGCTTATGATTCTTGGGTTGTGATCAGTGAAGATGTCAAATACAAAGTCAACGAAATCAATTCTATGGGTTATTGTTGAAAGGCGGATTGATTACATGGGATACTATGGTTTCTTATGGAAGTTTGAAAGATTATCATGGAAGATTGATATTTCAACCACTTGGGGAAGATTGATTGTTTGATGCAAATGACCATGTCCATATTCACACGTCGTGAAAATCAAAAGGAAGGAGAAGAAAGAGATTTGTTTAATAAGAAATACAATTACCTTATTGAAGACCCAAATGATCTTCTTGCTCTTAAGTTTGTTGAAGTTCAATATTATGGAATTCATTGTGATGTTCTTGATGTTCTTGAATTTCATGACAAGAAGATTCAAGTTGATTCTCATGAAGATGAAAAAGTTTTTTTGCTCGATTGGAGTTCAAACCGATGATATTTTGTGTTCTTGTGATTGGTTTGAAGGAATGATTCCTTATCGAAGCTGTTAATCCAAGAAATTCACAAATCAAACTCCAAAAGATATGATCCAAACTTGGTCAAGTAGAAGTTGTGGAAAATGGGTTTGTTCATGAATTCAAATCTTCAAGTTCCAAAAAGATGAAAAAGAAAAAGAAGAAGAAGATCAAACGTAAGAACAAACGGGTTTATTCACAAAAATATCAAATGTTGTTGTGAAACTGACATCCATGAAGCAAATTTGGGTTCCAAAGTAACAATCTTCAAATGTTACATTAAATTCGAAGTCAATACCAAAAAGTCTTGATGGTTCTTATGAATATTTTCTTAGATTGTTGAAGAACACGAAGAACGAGTTGTACAACACGCAACGTGGGTGGTACAATGTTCAAATTGGAGATTTTCTCGTTCCGACAAAAGAACCAAGATCTTCAAAATTTGATTCGTTCATTGCAAATGGAACTCGGATTGTCAAAAAGGTATCACACATTCTCAAATGGATTCCAAAACGTCCATGATTTCGATTCGTAGTTTGCGTTTTTCATTTTTGATCACTTTGTCTCATTGGATCAAATCCGTTTCAAATCCC